TCAAAGATTCAGAATGCATTCATTTCGCATAAAATAATGTAATTGAATCATTATCAAACTTAACTAATCATTAGGTCGTTCGTTGATTTATTCAAGAAGTTATAATGTGATAAACGATCTTAAGTTTGCTCTTTCTTGAGAAACATTATTAATAAATAATCGTAAAAATTCATTGTGATATTATTCAAATTCATGACGAACTTCTTCATCGAAGGAATGTAATTCAGATTAATGTTTGTACCGATGATAAAGGTAAACAGATTGATTCGAAATTTGACTTGATTTCATGGTTTATAAAAACTCATCGAAATCTATCGGTAATTCTTAGAATTGTATTGAGTTCAAATTTTCATGAAAAATTTTTGATGATGTATAAGTCATAACTCTCCTCAAGTGTATTGGTATTAGTGTTTTTTACTTAAAATTATGTTTTCAATACTCGATTCCTGTAACATCGGCAATGTATTTAAGGGATCTGGATAAGTGTTGATTTTTGTAAAACATGTGAATTTTTTCTTTCGGTTTGAATAAAAGGAATTAAATAATATTTATTTTAATATCAGTTGATATCTGCCTACAAGAGAATATCAAATGAATGACATATGTAATACAGCTTTCTTTCTGTTATTTGTTATGAATTTAAGTTTTATATGTTCAAATAAAAAAGATACAAAGTATTGTTTGATTTACAAGACAGAAACAAAAAATTTCCAGTATTACTAAGAAATTATTAAGGGAATCTTAAAATAATATATTCCACGAATATCATTGAGAAACATTTGGAAATCTCAATAAGAATTAAACATTAACCAATTATAAAAAATTTTATCCATCAATTTTCTTGAATGATATTGAAATATTCATCATCTAACATTCACAATTCTCTCATATCTTTCCTTTTTTGAAACGAAGTTTGGATTCTAAATGATTTCTTAATTATCTTTTTTGGAATTTCAATATTCAATATACTTTTATTATACTGAATATAAGTCTTTTTCTTGGCTTTGATTCAATCATTATCATCAACAAATGTCCTATGAAGAGCAATGTGGAAGATGATAAGTACTTTTTCTACTAAACTCGAATTATTTTACTTTAATTTTTGTTCACAGTCTGATGAACAATATGCTACACATTAGAATATTGTCTTTTCAATATATTATGAATGTTACTTTTCAAAAATATTACAAGAAAATCGTCTTACTATTCTTAAATAATGATTTCAATTTTGAGGAGTGACCTATCGAAGAATTTTAATTCCAAGAGTCAACCTTTTTGCAGCATTTGTTAAAGTCAACATATCCCCGCATTTTCTTTCCTCTATTATATTTTTCATTCGGAAGAAAAAGAACATGAGGCTCATTCGATTTCGTTGTACCTTTTATTTGTAAAATTCGTCACCTCTTGCAACGTGTCTTTCGTACAAAGCAAGAAAAAAACAAAGCTACCATCGAATTGTGAGTAGAAAAAGTTGTCTTTCTCGAAGTCGCACGTCGTTTTTTTGTAAAGATAACCATTTACTTTAGCTTAAAACTACTATAGGATACATTACTTCAGATTTAATATTGATAAAAAGTCATCGACATCTATTATTCCATTTCTTACTCTTAAGAGAGGATTTCTTAGACCATCATCCAAGCCAGTCGGAGTCAATATTTTTCATTAATTTCATTCCTCGAATAAGAGATCATTTTTGGAAACTTATGAATCAAAAATAATAGGACCTTTAGAGATACTTATGAAAAATACGGAAAACTGCAATTCTCTCGTTTTTGGGCTTAAATCATTAGAATTTAGAGAAGTGGCTTTTTCCATGCTTTGTTAGCTTATCAGTAAAATTATTGAGTCTTGACATTTAAAAATCGAATCCGAATTCCCAAGGCACTTGAAATTTTGTATCTTGTGCGGTAGTAGTAACAAAGTAAAAAAGACGTACACGAGATTTTAGTAGGAATAATATTTGTTTTTCTCCGTGGTTAAACCATATAAAACTCAGACGAACAGCTGCATCAGATCAAACATATTTTGGCATAATTAGTTTGTTGTAGGATAAACTTATCTGTGGCCCACCTGAGTATCTTCAGGAAAAAATAGTCTCGGTATTGTCAAGATAAGTTTTTCATAATAAATACATTTTGATAAAATATGCCTGACCTTATGTAATTTTTTACGCTGAATACGGATATATTATTTAGTTTGCTCTTAGAATTAACTATAATTTTGGTAATTACTAAAAGCACGTGCTATTTGTAAAATTTTTCATCATTTGAAAACTGATGCGAGAAAAGTTTCTTTTAAAATTTAGAGTCTCGGGCTTCGAAATAATATAAGATGCTTTATTTCATTTCTTTTTATGAAAAATAAAATAGGTTGATCAAAATCACTGATTACTTTCTCTGAAAAATTCAGGCCATTCGGATTCAATCTTACTCTTTCAATTTTAGAAAGCGTGCAGTCAGCTAAATAGTATGTTTATACTTAGCTTTTGGTACTGATCATAGATATAAAGTCATATTTTTAATCAGTATAAACCTAGTCTATGTAGTGGTCTATGGTTAGTCAAAGTGGTTATTGACGCCTATCAAAAGTGCCCTAAATGTGATCATTGCTACGAACTGCTACACATAGTTTTGTTCATTGAGTAATAAATCAAAAATGTAGAGTTTCAAGTGCTTTCAAAGTTCGGATTTATTTTCTTTTTTGGAAGTTTTTAAGTCAATTGAGTTAAAAGCAACTCACTGCTACAATAGTCATCATAAAACATAGATTCTCTAGTTTATTGAAGCATGTTCAGTTCAGTGATAGTTATTTAAAGGATCGTTTGTATGACTAATTTTCTTAACACAAGTATGTCAAAAAATATTAGTGGCGTCCAGTCCTATGTAAGTTTGTGTGATCGTTTTCCAATTCTTTTTCTGAAGTGTTAACGAATTAGAGCCTACTTTGTATAAAGTCTAAGCTTGTCTATTAAAGATTTCATTGCCATGCAACTTATTTCAAATGGTTATATTGAGTAAATATAATTGACTTTCAAGTTTTTCTTTAGTTCAATACGGACTTAGCATGGCATTGCTCAATCTATTTAAAAGAGAACCTTTGCTAATCACTTGATAAATTCGCGGATAATACTACTTTTTCTTCAGATTATGTTCAGAAAAATATAGTGTCTTGTCCTGGCTGATTGAGTAACTAGGAGAAGCTCTCTCTTAAATACTTCGAAGAACGCAATAGAGAGTTCTTATGCAAGTAAAGAAAATCTTGACATTAAAAGATTGTTGTCTAAAACAATCATTAAAACGGGATTCAAAATGAATTTATTGTAGGCTGATCTTGTCTCATTAATATTAAGTGTTAAGTAAGACCACTTTATATTTGATTTTATTAAACTGTGTGAAAAATAAATGATTCATCTCTAGTCCATAAGCTATCCGATCTTTCGAAGTAACAAATATATTTCATATCTTTAGACAATGTCACTTAATGTCAGGGCAACTAAATATCAGACAATTTGGTGATGACTCTCTGAAGATATGAACTTACTTCGTCAAAAAAAAACAGAGTAAACATTATTAGTGCTGAATTGTTATGCATCTTTAATCGGTATTCTCGAATATTCATCTCTATGAAATGGATTGAATACATGAACAATAATCTCTATTGACAGGAAAAGTAGAGGATTCATTCTTGTCTACTCACAGTTTAAAAAGGAAGAAAGAAATCATCTTGTTCTCATCAACTGTTTCAAAGTAATTGATCGATCGAATTCAGTTGACAATCTTCATAGAATTCATTTTCATTAGATTTTACCACTTTATCAAACGTTGATCGCCTCATTCGATCTCAATGAGGTACATAGTACATGATAAAAATTGAAATCATTCTTTGATCATTGAGTATGATGTTTTTCTCTTAAGAAAATATCAGAGTGAAAATTCATATTTCATCAAAATAGTACCTCGTCACACATATCTTGACAATTTTTTCATCTTTAGTCAAAGAAAAAAAAACTTTCGAGCTTTCAATTTATGTACCTTAAACATCACTTCTAGTCTAGCCATCCTTAAATCCAAAACATTATGAACATCGATATAGGTCTGGAGCTAGCCTTTATATTCAGAATGAGTGTAAGTCTTCAGTTTAACCAGAGCTTGTACCTCTCTTCAGATAGATAGTCATACTCAAACTCATTCTCATACCTTTAAATCTTTGTAGATTCTACAAATCTTCTGAAATGAAATTGCGATTAATGAAATACAGATGAGTATTGAGTTATGTGAAAAATTTACATTTTTTTGTCATTTAGAATAAAACAAATCAAGTTCAGTTTATTCAAATAAGAGTTAATATTTCTCCAAAGGAAAGCATTGATTAAACCATATTTGTGACCTTCCTGTATCTATTACATCTTATCATTTGTATTACCATATGTTCATATGAAAAGAAAAAAAGTAATCACATATTCTGATTTGCGAGAAAATAATCCGAATGCAACGAAAGCATCCTCATCACCAAATCCCTACATAGTTAATGTTACACATACTGTGAAGACGGCTGAAATTTTCTTTCATTCAATATGTTGATATATTGGTTTGCATGTATGTGCTGAAAAATAATTTAAGTATTATGTAGATTTCACTATTTGAAGAACAAGTAAAAAAATAGTTTTTCTCCTATGACTTTTTTAGAAAGTATATTACTAGTATAAAAATAAATCTTTGAACAAGTAATTTTATGTTATGATATTCCATGTTCTTTATCAATATTATTAAGTCAGAAACATAGAAATTCATTTAAGACTTATTATTTTGTTCCTCAGTTTTTATTACAAACAAATTAATTTATATTTGAGACTAGTGAACAAAATTCGAGTTGAATCATCAATGAAGAATATTGAGTGAATCACTTAAAATATTTCTTTATAAACATTCATATGAATTCATTTTAGATCGAGATATATACAGAATAAATTTCACAAGTTTCGTGATTTACTTCGAAGAGAAATGGCAACAGACAATGAATCGATTTTATGTTCAATTTGTAGTAAACCTTCAGCTAAATCATTTTGTATTGGATGTAAAAAGTACTTTTGTCGAAAAGATTTCAAAGAACATGAACAACAATTATCGATGACATTTGATAATGAAATAGTTCGATCTCATGATGAACTTCTCGATCTAATACAGAAATTAGAAAAAACAAATTATTTGTCATTAGATGTTTTTAATAAAATTGAACAATGGAAGCAAACAACAATCAATAAAGTGAAAAAAGCAGCAGACAAAGCTCAGCATGAACTTACTCAATTAATCGAAAACCGAAAAATAACAATAATAAAACAACTTGAACCAATTACTAAAGAAATTCGTTCTCTTCGAGAAGAAGAATATATTGTTGAAACTGATATTGACCGACTTCGAAAAAAAATCAATGATATGCGACAAAAACTTGAAGAGTTTACTCAAAAAGATACGAACAAAAGCATCATTTTTAACGATGATCAAATTGATTGGAACCGACTCATTTACATCAGACAAGAACAACAACAAAATTGTAAGTGTTTTGAACTAAACTCAGAGAAAAAGAAATTCTTCAACAAATCAATCGAATATTTTTATTCGACTAGACGATCTTAACTAATTCTTTCATAGATTTGAGTTACTTCGAAAGACACGCTATGTTCGAGAAAATTGAATTAGATATAATGTGTAGTTTATCATTTTTAGAAAACTGAACAAGTTTCCGTGGACAATAAAATAGATTCAACCTTCCAGAATTCTAAGTCGAATTGCAATAGAAATGATTTCTATGAAACGATGTAGAGTAATTATTTGGATTAAAAAATTAAGAGAAACGTTTATCACTGAACACTTGAGGTTACAAGACTTCAACAATAGATATTAAAGTTCATATTTACTCTCTTATATTTTCTACATTTCAGAAGTTCGATCCATTTAAAAAATACAAGAGAATAGAAGTTTTTTTTCCTATAAGAAAATTAACATACACTAATTTCCCTTTCTACAAAGACAAGAACGTTAACTTTCATTCATTTCCAATCGCAAATATTTCTACTAAAATCGGAATGAAAAATTAATTCTAAAATTGAATAAATAGAAACTGTTTTTGAATGTCGAATCAATACTAAACCAAGAGTCATTCTGAGAGATTTTCATTTTCTTGAAAATGATTTCACAAATAAATGATTTGTGAAAAATTGCAAAACTCAATTTTATAACGAATGTTTGAAGTGCATTTACACATGAAGTCACAACAATGATACGAGAATAGTCAACTAATTGAAGAATTCTAAGCAATTTCAAGTAAAAAGAAAAGAAAATCTTCTTTTTCTGATATTTGATTACTTCTTGAATGGATTTTCTACTAAGATGTGTCATTTTCGAATATTCATAGAATAAGTAAGGAACACAGGCTCGTCTTCTCTGTAGGATGTGAATTGAAGATCAGACTATAGTTGAATTTCCATGTAGAATAGATAAACGGATTAAACTATTTCAGGTATAAAAGAAGTTTCAATGATCGTTTCTGTTTGGAAACGTTTACGAAGACTAAATTTAGATTCATTAGAATTTTATTGAAGACGAATATCGAAAAATAAATAAAATACTTTACATCGAACATTCAAAAACCTTTAAAATGTTAATAAATAGTTGTAAGATTTCGATTGAATGTTACAGAGTATGTCTAAAGGAGTTCAATAAATGTTTCATAAAAAATGTGTTTATCGAACGAAATGAAAATCTTTTTATTCTGAATTCCAATCGAATAGAAAAACAAGATTAATGACAAATTATGTGAGAAAAAGTTAAGTTCACTGATGAAAACCACAAAAGTATATTCTTTATGCAAGGTTAGAGATTATTCATAAACCATATTAAATGTCGTTAGAAACATGAGTAGAATGCTACTTTAGAATCATTGATTGCTTGGGAAAAAGTGTCAATCATCCAACTAGTTCAACTACTATCGACACATCTGATAGAAAAATTTCTCACGCTAAATATTTTTATCATGACACTTCATTAAGATAAAGTCGTAGATGTTAAGAGAGAGATAGTTATGGAATAAATGGAGTAATTGTCAATATTTTGATACTTATGATTGATTTCAATTGAATTTTCTTCCAACTCGAAATAGAAGACTCAAACAAAGAATATTTTTAACAAAATACAGGTAAACATAATATCAGAAAATAGATTTATCATAAAAGACTTTGTAGATCCTGTTTGCTGTCAAATTTCATTTGGAAATGAACTACAGCTAATTAATTTGAGAAATCTCGTTCATCTGTATCGAAGAATCATCGATTTAGTCAATCATTGGCTTTCTTATTCAAACGAATGCAAACAAAAATTCTCAAAAATCAATTCAACTTCGAGATACAATTCTCTAGAAAAATATAAAAAAGCAATCAAATCTCTAAAATCGATCAGTGACAGCCTTCGTATATTTCATTTAATTAGATTTAATTATG